GGGGGGGTTGGGGAATATGCAATATGTAACTTTTCTTGCAATACAAGCAGTGCGCAGTTCAGTACAGTTACAATAAGATCAAACAGCAGTCGGGTCCATATCTCTGACTTCCCCGCATGAAGGATCTTCGTAGGATCACAACCACCACCCCACGGCGACCCAGTATTCTAGCCCGAGTAACAATATTCATTCGTCATGCAAGAGCAACGAGGGCACAGAACTTCAGGAATTCAGCTTCAGATAATCGCTGCAAAATAGGTTTCTTCAGCCATTTTGGTTTGAAATTTTAAAAATATAATAAAAAAATATATATGTATAATTTATTATTATTATTTTTTTTTTTTAAATCACAAACTAGGTACCGGATAATTGCATAAACAAGAAATATCCCACCTTACACGCCGTACAATGACACAACATGAATGATGCAATTCATTCATGCAGAGAAACCGGGTTGCGATGCACTTACGGCGAATTTCAGGGATTCCGAGCCGTGGGGGCCGTCAAACTGGAAGTGCTTCAGGTCTGGAAAGTCACCCCCACCGCTGTCCCTGGGAGCGAACCGCTTGTAGCTCTTTTCCTTGGTGTCTGGGTCCACGTGGAGTCCGTAGTCACTCATGCTATTGCAGACCTCTTCCAGGAGCTCGGTTAGGTGAGTCTCTGATCTAGCAAGAGGAACCTATTCAAAAGAACAGGGACATACGGAGAGGTGGTGACCTGCAGGTCCGATGCAGTAATTCCATCTAAAGCAGGTTGCAGAGAAAACAAGAACTTGGACTGGGAAAAAAAAAAGGATCAGTGGAGTTCATTTTGGGATCATCTAGCAAAATCTGCGGGTGACATCGGTGTGCATCTCTGTCACCTCGATGTCCCCGCCCTTTCCTAATTTAAAAAAGCCCCAACTGCCATCATTGTGCCCCTAAACCAACTACATTAAAGGTCAAAGGTCACCCTTTCACTTGGCAACGGGATGGGAAACGCGGAAGCGTCTAGACAGGTCAAGGTGCAGAGTGCATGGAAACTATCCACCACCACCCCCCCCACTGCCACGGAGCCTTCCGGAAGGGGGAGTCAACCGCAGCCAAGTGCAGGGTAAACAGGAGAGTCATCCTTTGGCCCCTGAAAGCGGTTCTGGCCAGCTGATCAAAGCTGGAAGCCCTGATGTGAACTGCCTGGGCAAAGGGCAGGGATAGGCTAGGGTAGGGGGTGACCCCAAGGGGTGGGGTGGGGCAGCGTGCGGGGGGGGGGGGGGCAAAATGCAGATGAACTGGATCACTGCGACGTGGATATGTCCGCGACCCCCATTGTCCTCTTTGAGACGCAGTACGGATCCTTCCGGTCCCACGGATTGCATTAGGGCGCCATGGTGCCCTCTCTCGCCTGTGTGCCACGCGGACACAAAGAGGCTTCCGGGGCTGCTGCCATCTGCTGATGTGCCGGGGAGAGAATGAGCCCCAGCGCGCATTTGGTCTCAGATATGACACCCCCCCC